TTGAATTTCTCAAATCAGAGATGACTCCGTCGACCTGACTTTGCCTTTTATCTTATAGACTCTTTCCCTCTTTTCTTTCCTTCCTCTTTTAATTCCCCACTACCCCCTCCCGAAAACAGAGTAGCCAACCAGGACTTTAACCTATGTTAACCTCTCTGTTCTTTTTTTTCCGACTCTCTCTCTCTCTTGTCTCCTAACTTACTTTCCCTTTCCCCGATTTTTGTACCTTCAACCGGCCGATTGATTTTGGAATTCCTATATGTCCGTTGCTATAGTTAAAAGATGTGGTTGTGTTGCGCTTGTCTTGCGTGTTTAACCTTTCTTCCACCCTGATCCGCGCCAACACGCTCTTCGTGCACCAATAAGGGTGCTGTGCAACGACATTGGGTAAGAATGTTTCTCATTTTACGCAAGCTTACTGCCATTATAGCGCAACCCAAGTAAACTCGTAAGCAACGCCACTGACCAAGCAGCTTCTTTGTAGCCGCGTAGGTTCAAGAATAAAGGCGGACGTTTTATTTCAGTCTCTCCTTCGCAAAACTTGATGACGAAGTTGTGGGAACCGTGTTCATTGCTGGCGTTGTCAAGAATGCGATCCCCAGGAGTTCATCAAGCTTGGCGATCCCCTCGGTAACGATGTTTAAAAGCGGCTCATACATGTGATCACGAGCATTGCGTGAACATTAGATTTGGGCTCGTGACATTCAATGCCTCAACACGCATTCGGGTAATGACTCGTGCCCAAGCGCTGCGATGACGGGAATAGCCAAACCATAACAATGCCTGGAACTCAGCGCGTGCCCTCTACTTTGCCAACACTAGCGATGAGAATTATTGGAGGCATATTTATTTACTTATTTATTTATTTACCTTCAGGGCCAAAGGCGTTACAAAGGGGAGTGGGTAAAAAAAACAAACAAAAAACACACACAACAGCAAAAGGGCAGGAGGACTATTGTTGTGTGAAGCAATACATGTTAGTCAAGGCATTTCTAAAACTCTTACTGGCCACGATTTCGGCAGCATCCATGGGAAGGTGATTCTAATATAAAGAGGTGCTGGGAATAAAGGAACATGATAATATGCGTTAGTCCTGCAAGATGGAATGCCAACTTTGAATCTATGATCGTTCCGTGCTGAGAGATAATGGCGTTGTGTTAGTAGCCTTTGCTTGAGAGATGAATTATGATGATATATTTTGTGGAACAAACACAAGCGAGACACTTTTTTGCGCATAGAAAGATTAGGCAAGGATAAGCTGGTTTTCATTACGGTTACGCTGGCGGTACGATGGTAATTAGAGAGAATAAAGCGGGAAGCACGATTTTGGACGGATTCTAATTTAGAAATGAGCGATTCAAGACCGGGGTCCCAGATAGACGCAGCATATTCAAGCTTACCCCGAACAAAGGTTTTGTAAAGAATGAGTTTCAATGACGTAAGCGCGAGAAAAAAGTTTATTATAAGGTAACCAAGCATGGAATTAGCATTGTTAACGATATGCTCAATATGAGCTTTCCCGGATAAATCACAAGTAATGTGCACGATCAGATACTTGTAGGATGGCACATAGTCAAGAGGAACGTTATCAATGGAGTAAACAGGACGTGCTGTGTTAGGGCGAGACACACGCATGCATTTACATTTAGCAGTATTTAATTCCATGCACCACAAGCTACACCATTCAGAGATAGAGTTAGCATCAGACTGAAGGAGATACATGTCAGAGTCATTAGTAATTTCACGATAAATAACACAGTCATCTGCAAACAGACTGGCAGATGAACATACATTGTTAGGTAGGTCGTAAATATAGATAAGAAATAAGAGGGGAAATAATTGGCTCGAAATCACGTGGTCACTTGTACTGGCTGCGTGTTGAGGGGATGAACGCCGCTCGTTTTGACCAGACTTTTTCCTACGACTGCCATTGGGCAAGAAAAAAAAAACACACACACACACGAAAAAACAACAAAAACGAACGCCTTGTTTTATGAGTTATGAATGTCAAGGAATCATCCTAAGCCGCGCATTTACTGATAGTGCACAAATTGTTCCATCGCCCCTTCATTGCTGGCACGTGTTTTGACGAAGCGGAAACGAACTCTACTCTGTTTTGGCGTAAGTCAGCAAATCACAAAAGCTACGGCAGCAGTGGGCCAATCAGGGCTTCAGAGTGACGCACGAGATCGGACAAAAGTGCACTCCGGCGCCGCGTTGCCAGGTGCCCCGCTCCTGCACTCCTCTCGACTCACAGCGGCCGTAGCTCCCGCAGTTTGCCAAGTTAGTGTAAAAGGGAGTACAGGAAAGGATGACACGTGTGCTCGCTGTTTTATTTGTGGGTCGTATCCGTTCGCGCCTGCACACGCGACTGACTCATGAGCCTTCAACGCTATAGACCTTTCCAATGTTTACAAATCCACAGCTCAGCGTGCGATCTCCACAGCTCAGCACGCGCGTGTGCGTCGCTTTGGAAAGCGAGCAAATCACGCGCGATACGCACGAACACTGAAAATGAAACCGGCCAGCAGCCCTTTTCTGGAAAGGTCTATAGACGATTGCAAGCTGGGCGACTGGCCACCGCCATGTCTCTGCTCGAGCAGGCACGCCCGTGCGATTACGTGCTTGCCAAAGCTACGTTCCCCCGCGCGTTGCACGCGCTTGCACGCATGGGGCACCACTTGTGGCGCCATGCATGCAATTGTCTATAGGGAGTATTCACTGGCGGCCATAGCTGTGTGCGCGAATGCTGAGCGCGTGCTGAAGGCGAGCTTCCACAGTTCTTTTGCAACGAGCATTCCGCACCATCAAAAGTGCCAGTCTTAGCAGCCTATTGATGTGAGCTCGTTCTGAGCATGCGCTCTAAACAGCACCCACAAATATGGCGTCTAGTGAGTACTCCCTATTCAACCACGCGCGGATTTCACAAGCGGCTCTCAGAAGCACGAGGCAAGCTCAGGTTCCGCCGCCTAAGTGGGACATTTACAAAATCAACATTACAAGGCCACTAAGACGCGAAGTAAATGGCCAGCTAAAGTTTTCATGTGAAGCGCTATGACACAGAAAGTTTCCAAAACAACCCAATATTGAGCAAATATAGTAAGGCCGGGTGCATTCGATCTGGTGAATATGAACCATGTTGAATTAACCTGAGACTGGGGTAGAAAGGAAACATCAAAACGGTGGAAAGGACAGAAAATAGACAAGGCGACGGCAGGTCGGTAAACGTCGTCCTGTCTATTTCCTGTCCCTTCTACGTTTTAATGTTTCCTTTCCATTCCAGTCTTAGGTCAATTCAACATGGCCAATATTGACGTCACGAAAATCAATTGAATTGAAATTTGATACCACAATCGCCGAGAAATAAGGACGATTTGTGAGAATAGTAGGTTTTCTAAAGGAGATTTTCTGACTTACCTGTGATTACATGGATGATTGACAAGACCAAGACAGCCCCTGAGGAACCTTTAGTTTTCGATTGCAATCAAAGCGAAGCCCGCAGATTGCAAATATCAGTAGTGGTGATTATCGGAGATAATCATTCTCTGCCTTACAAAAGCGAAGGCCAAACTTTAATGGGCCCGATAGGCAGAAATATGCCAATGTTTTCAATACCTGTTGGTGCATGCCTTCCTCTGGTGATGTTAGTTAGCTGATGAACATATTGCTGTCTGTAGGTCACCCTTCAGTAAGAAAAACAGTCTTATTTCAAGGCGGAATTTGGAGTGCGTTCTCGTTATATCACACACAAAGGAAACTTAAAATAATTTCACGTTCTAGTTTTGTGAAATGTATACTCTGCGTGTGCGTGTGCACATCACGAGTTTCAAAAAACGGCCGTACTGTTGTGTGATAGTCGCCTTCTCTTTTTCTTCGATGATTTTCCGAAAACTACCGACCGTCGTTTAGCGCTCCTTTATTTCAAAATAAGAAGTTATGTCCTAATGTCTCCCTAAAGGTTACGAGATGCAGACCACTGAAGGATTCAGAGTGACCCACGCGCGCCACTGAAAGTCAATAATCCAGAAGGCATCCATTTTGACAAGTCCGGTCACGACGTCCCCTTTAGTAATATAAATGACTTATTGCAATTTGGTATCCACAAAGAGTCGCTGACCAAAAGTCGCTGGTTATTTATATTCTCTGCTGGAATCCTACGTTTATGTATCGGAACGGGCTTATGTCGAACCGCAGCCTAGTCGATAAAGTTTGCTGTTTAACTGCGTGAGTTTATTACCAAAAAGAGTTGATGCCGCGTTAGCTTGACTACGGGGCCTATGACACCCATACATCCAAATTGGTTAAAAAAGAAAAAGTAACCAGTTCATTCACGTGACAGGACATCACTATAATAACATATAGGTATACGTATACTTTGTTTCACTTTAAGTCCGGACGCAGACGACGCTACGGGCTGATAGGACCAATCATAAAGTGTTGAAAGCGTAATGTTTCTCGACGTGTTCTATCATCACTGAACCAATCATGTATGGGAAGGCCCAGTGACTTGCACTTTTGACACTCTCTCATCAGCTCGTAGCGCACGATGCGTTCGGACGGGAAAGGAAGTAGCGACCATAAATATAGGTAATACTGATTTTACGATGCGTCACTAAAATGGATTGAATCTTTTTCCTCAAACAACGACTCTATCTTTTTTTTTTTTTTTTTTTTAATGATGAAGGCCATGTGAGAGCTGCAAACATTCGCATCCGGTTTGACACGAATGCACTCCAGAAGATAAAAAAAAAAAAAATATCTGCTGCGATCACGTATTTCAGTCCCGTGTTATTGATCTGTAACCGTCCGATCCAGCGCTGTTCGGCGTAGCGGAAGTGGGTTGTAAATTGTCAGCCACGCGCCGTTGCTAGAATTACGACTGCTAGAATACGCGTTAAAAGCCGCAGTGTCACCAACCACTGCGCAGACGGCCTCATCGAAGGTCTATTTAAAAGTTCTTTCCATCTAGAGCGCTACTACTGCTTGCTTCGTCGCCAGCCATGGCCACATTCAAAGCTTTCTCAACACTCTTGAAGATAACCAGCGAGGCAACATGTTGCTGTCCTCCGTGTCGAAAGATCTCTTCGCGCTTTCCCGTGCTGGCACTGAGGGGTGCGGCTGTGAGCAACGAAGTGCTGGCCACGACGGCCGCATTAGGTAAGGATTTCTTCGCACGAGTTCGCACTGCCCTCGTTCTAAACGTTCTGCAACTAATTATCTCCCCAGGTAATCATGCAGGCATCGGAAATTCACCTGAGCCGACGATACGTCAACGCATCCACTCCCTGCACTGCCCCCTCCCCCCCCCCCCCGCCCCCCCCCCAAAAAAAAAAAGCAAAAAAAAAAAAAGCTTTTTTTTTTTTTTAGCCGTAAAATTAAACTACGCATTGCCGAACGCTCATTCTCCGCCCATATTTCGCACTAGCGGTCCAGATCAGATGCGAGCGTTTCAGAGTTCATCGTTATCGGGAAAATGGCGGTGGACGGAGGCTCTCGAATACATGAAGCTGACTGAAAACGGGCCACATTTTAGTGTAGAAATTTTCAGAAAATCACAAAACTTTTGAATGAGACAATGGTTACTTCTAAAACTTTTGCATCCGGTTCGAACCACTAGCGCTACATTTGGGCGCAAAATGACCATGTTTCAATGCCTAATTTATTTTTGCGATAATTTTTTTTTCTCCATTTTTTGTTACGTTTTGTGCCTTTTATTTTTACAGTGCATGGCGTATCTGATATAATGCACTCCACTCCTGTAGAAAGCTCCTTTCAAGAAATAAGAGCAAAAAGGCAACGCGAATGCACGCTGTATCACACCCGATAGATGTTTTGTACCACCTGTCTCAAAACACCTCCAGATAGAGCCATGGCTTCACGGCGCTCGGATACAAGGGCAAAGCCCAACTTCCAGGCAGCGCTCCTAACTTCCAGGCTGTGCATCCTTGATGTTTGAAAATTGCGAGAAATTTGCTGTTGCGCTGTACTCGAACAAAGACAAAAACTGCTTTTGCCGCGTCCAGAACCCATGAGGCACCGATGCATCGCGTATCAGATATAATACATGAAGATTGCTTTGCCTTGGAGTTGAAAATTCTAATAAACTTTTTCTTTAATAATTTTTAGAATCATGTTCTATAGTAGCAAGCACACCTAAATAATTTAATGTAAAAATAAAAAAAAAAGTCATGCATTCCAGGGTTAAGGGTTTTTGTGCTATTTTATGGAAGCTACAAGTGCGAGCGCGCGTCTTCAGAAGTTCAGATATTGTCTGCTTCGCGCGAGCTCTCGTGTGAACAACTCATTTTGTGGAGCTACGCCCTCGTGTCTGTTCCATTGATAGCAAAGCCCACAAGTCGCGAGTTGGAGTATATTCTGAAATTACGGTACTGTGTGAGAACATAGCCATCCCTCGATGGGGTCATTGCTCAGACAAGTATTTTAAATATCTTTAGATTGAAGGCGGCTAAAACAAATCAGTAAAAAAATTGCGGTGGCTTACGGCTATGCCCGGATATACGTAGCGTGAGCTTATGCGCACAAAATGAGAGGCGCTATCAAGTGGCTCCGGTGCAGCGTTAGACTTGGCTACTGCGCAACGGAGGCGCACAGCTGGGCACTCGGCGGCGCCAGTGCGTCTGTCGCGGCTATGACCTCACTCCTTTGGATACGCAGACCGGCGAGGCGCGCGCGGCGGCGGTGGCGGAGCGCGCGGCGGTGGCGGCTCTGGCGCGCCAGCTGTGCGCCGTGTGACGTCAGTGCTCCTCGCGCATGCGCAGCACAGAGCACGGCTCATTATGCGAGCCACGCGAAACTGCTCAACCTCGGCCAGTGTAGCTCACGCCACAAAAAAATTGCGGTGGCTTAGCTCGGCTATGCCCAGATATACGTCGCGTGAGCTTATGCGCACAAAATGAGAGGCGCTATCAAGCGGCTCCGGTGCAGCGTCAGACTTGGCTACTGCGCAACGGAGGCGCACAGCTGGGCCCGCGGCGGCTCCAGTGCGTCTGCCGCGGCTATGACGTCACTCCTCTGGAATGCGCAGACCGGCGAGGTGGGCGCGGCGGCGGCGGCTCCGGCGCGCCAGCTGTGCGCCGTGTGACATCACTGCTCCTCGCGCTTGCGCAGTACAGCTCCTTGGGAGCCACGCGAAACTGCTCAACCTCGGCCAGTTTAGCTCACGCTACAATATTTGGCATGCAAGGTATTTTCAAACAGCGAAAAGTTAGTCTGCCTTGAAATGGCCTCTGAGTTCTTCGCTATAGAGAGCAGAGGCATAATTTGGCCATTAAAGCGTGACTGATAAGGTGTGCTCTCAGTGCCGCGTGCATCACGGCGTTATCAGCTTTTGAAGCCGCGCCAGACGGCACCGAAATGCCCCTGTCGGATGGAGCGAAGCTTGTAGTCCGTAGTAGCGAATTGATGGATCGACTCCCATTGGCTGGCGCGTGGCATAGTTCCAAGGAACGCCACCTCACTGCCATGGCGCAGCAGCCCGGCCTCCGGTAAGAGGCGACCGCAGAGGCCGCCCGGGCGGCATCAGCATATGTCGCCCGGCCGCTCTCAGCATAGCGCGTAACTTTGAGGAATACGTTACGTATACGAATGCTTTCGCATTCCGACACGTTAGCAGTCTTCAGTGTCTTTGTACTTTTTTTTTTCGGCACGTGTACGCTGTACCTTCGACGTGTATAAATATGTGTGAGTGCTGTCACACCAGAGTTCTTTTTATTCAGTAAATTGCACTCCAGTGTTTTGCTTAACTGCGAGTATGACTGCAAATTTCCGGCGGGGAAGTTCGGTGGGAACACTGGAGGGAGACCGTTTGTACAGCCCCGACAACATTGAACACCAGAGTATCTAAACTGTCCGCTATAAATGGGGAGAAAGCATGGTTTGGGATTCTATGGTAACTGTTAGAACACGTAATGCATGAGTTAAAGTAATTAAGCGTGCATAGGTCTCACTCGTTACTTCCGTCTATCCAGAGACTCTGCAGAGAGGCGGAAACGCGGCCGACGCCTCTGTAGCAATGGCTGCTGTCTTCCAAGTGCTTCAGCCGTACGCTGGTGGAGTCGGCGGCGACTGCTTTTGCCTCTTCTACGACGCCTCTAAGAAGAAGGTGCATTGCATCGATGGCAGGTATTTACCGCGTCATGATTCTTCCGACATCTAACAATCTGACACAAGGAAATTCTCCATGAAAACAGGGCGGGAGACCACGGATACAAATAATGTCTGATAAGTGTATATATGAGAAACCGAGACTTGGTGCTGAACAAAGCTGACGGGGGAGTTCATTGTAGATTCTGATGAATGCATATATTTATTAGAAGGGAAGCAGAAGAACAAGAAGAAGAGAGGGAGAGACAGAAAGAGAGAGAGAGAGAGAGAGAGAGCTCTGCGCGATGTGTGTGGTGTACTGCATGCTTCGTTTGCCAAACCCAGAACGATATTTCGATGCTGATTGGTGAGCTAAGCAAGATACACATGATGCTTGATGAGGGGGCGTATAGTCTTCCAGAAACCAATAGAAAAGCAACGAGTTGTAGCAGTTTAGCAGACAACTTGCTGTGAAGAATACCAATCAGAAACCAGGTACTGTCCTTTTTCTATTAATAGTTTGGAATTACGTGACTGCGGAGTTGAGGTGTCGGGTTATGAATTTATTGCTTTGAACTTCAGTTTTGTTTCTAAAATGGCAAATTTTCTTCGAAGCGGAAGGAGTCCGGCAGCGCTGACACTGGAGCTTCTGCTGTCCAAGGGCTTCGGCACCAGCGTCGAAGCTCGATCGAAGGGCCTCCTAGCCACAGTTCCAGGAGCTGTCAAGTGTTGGTTCGACACAATCCGGGCTTTCGGAAGTGGAAAGGTAACATTAATCACGATGCAATTATCTAAGAATCAGCTGTCGGGACTCGAGAACCTACCAAAAATAAATCGAAATCGCATAGATCATTGAAAATGCTGCTAAGCAGCTAGAGGAACATTGTGAAGCAGGAGAGCTTGTTGGTTTCAGATCCGTGGAGGTTTTTAAAAACAGGTGTTGTGTTTCGGCTTGCCCTTTGTATTTATTGGCGTTCATATAGCAGAAAAACGAAGCAAAAAAAGAAAAGTGACAGCAAAATTTGAAGGATATAATGATATAAGTTTATATATTAGAGGTAGGATAACAGGACACCTTATAAAGTTTATCTGAGATTTCTAAAATTGTTTATTGTCATGGTGTTGCCTAAATACGAGGTGTGATCGAAAACTTCCGGGACTGATTTTGTAACGTAAAAAGAGAGGGCAGCACAGTAATGCTCATTTAACAGTCGAAGGAAGGGATCGCCGTGTCTCGTTATACAAAAGAGCGTCGCTCTGTGAACATTTGAAGCTGCGCTAAACGAGTTTTTGTGACCGCGTACACGGGAAAAATGGCGATTCCACCATAGACTGCAAACCAGAGCGAGAACGAATATCAATTCTGCGTCAAACTCGGCAAATATAAAACAGCGGCATTTGAAATGATTCAGCAGCCTAGTGTCGAAAAAAAAAGTGAATTTCGCGAAGTTCTTTATGTTGGCACTCGCGCTTCAGGAACGGCAGAACACCACTGAAAGACGAAGCGCGGTAGGGCGACCTTGCCTGACCTCTCCTTGACTTCAGTGACATTCTGTCAATCTTGTATCGCGAGGGCCTCTCAAAACACCTCACACGCCTCACTGCTCTTGGACATAACCCTTCTAAATCATTGTAGAGGTCTGTGTTTTAGATTTGCCGCGTTTGACGTCAAAATTGACGTTCGCTCTCGTTTTGGTTTGCAGTCTATGGAAAGATCGCCATTATGCTCGTGCATGCGGTCAAACAAACTCGTGTAGCGCAGCTCCAAATGTTCACTGATCGACGCCCTTTGGTATCACGAGGCACGAAGGTCCGTTTCTTCGACTGCTGCGCGCGCACCACTGTGCTGCCCTCTCTTTGTACGCTGCAAAATCAGTCCCGGAACTTTTGGATCACATCTCGTACTTTTATGTGATGTGAAACCTGCGGGTGAAATAAAACAGAAAATCGAAACCTCTACTCGCTCATGCTCGAAAATTAAATGATGAGGAGCAACTTGGAGGGAGAAATACATATCGGGACTGCAGTTTTTCCAACAAGGATATGGGTGCATCGCAAACAAAAAGTCAAATCCAGTTGTAATTAGTGCGAGGCTGGAGCAGCCACTTTCGAGTTCCTTCCCTGAAGAAAATGACGACTTCGACGTTCAGTGCGACGTGCTCAAAAATGTGTGGCACTACCGCGTATTTAAGTTGTTTTTTGCTGAAAGTTTGCTAAAGTTTACAACGCCAAGGTTATCTTATCAACATAAAAACACAAAACATAAACATTGGTTATCGTAATAATAAAAAAAAAACAATAAAAAAACATGCGTACCTAATTTTTTACTCATTTATCCATCCAACTACTACTCACAACATTAAAAACCACGAAAACAAGCAAACAATTGATTTTCTTAAAGCGCACCCTAGAAAACGAATGTCTTATCGCTACTCCTTCTTGCAATCTTCCAGTTAAACATGGCCGAGATTTTGCAACCAGCGATTCATTTCGCCGAAGAAGGTTTCCCAATAGGTGTCATCAGTTCTCTCGAGTGGGGACGGCGCCGTTCAATTCTTACCAAAATTCACGGAGGAAAGACCTTTCTGAAGGATGGCAAGTTCACGCCTAACCCGGGAGACATTTTGAAGAACATTCCCATGGCTGGACTGTTAAAGGTAAGCTTCTCCTTTACGCTTAGTATGTGCACTCTATATTAATGTGTGGTCGTGACAGATGTATAGGGCAACGCGTCCACTTTGATAGCAGATCTGTTTTTTTTTTCTTAATGAAGAGAGCTTGGGAGTCCGCGTATAAGACGCACAGCTGGCTAGAATAAACACATGTTGCTCAATATTCACTCTCATCGAACGAATGGCAATTGCGTGAAACAATTAAGGAATTTGTTGCGTGTAAAAACTCCGTTCCCTAATGTTCAAATGCATTAAGTCAGAAAAATGTGTTAAAAATAAAATGCTGTTTGTAGCGGAAGGCCCTTATTTTTAGGCCCCCGTTCAAGCCGTCGGGTTGCATGCATCACGAAGATGATCAAACACATCGCTGTTACGCGTTCACTACGAGTATTGTAGATGAATTTAGTTGCTAGACACAAAGAGTAACTACCCTGAAACTATAAATGATCGCAACGTTTCCACCCTTGCAGAAAATAGCAAAAGAGGGACCTAGCGTCGTTTACACGGGTCCCGTAGCTCAGAGCATAGTAGAGGCGGTGGCGGCTGCTGGAGGGGTCATGACCACCGAAGACCTCGGAGATCACTTGCTTGAACCATCGGCCGTGCCACCGATCTCTACGACGTACCGAGGCACGACAGTGCACACCGTGCCACTACCGAGTCAGGGCGCCATCTTGTTGGAGGCCCTAAACATCATCGAAGGTTTTGATTTGCACAGTAAGTTTGCTATTTGACGGATCACAATGACGTGACGCAAACTTTTTTACTGTAATTAAATATATTAAATACTGTTTTCAAAATTATTTCCGGAGCGACACGAAACTCTTGTGCAGCGCTAACGCTGGTTGTGCCGGGCTGGTTCGTATGGCAGGTTTTTGTCAAACTCATCAAAAAGTTTCTTCCTTTGCTGTTGGTTTCTCGGCACGTTTTTGTTGTACAATATTTTAAGGGTGTATATCGGCGTTTTCTTGAAATTTCAGTATATTACACATCTTTAACTAGCCGACCAGACTTCCTCGAATTCTATTTTATTTAAAGGATCATAAAAAAAATGAGTTTCTTAGGAATTCCAAATTATTCAATCCTTGATTTTGATTAAATATTGATTCTTCATTAGAAACACACAATGAATTAAAACTTCTTAAAAAATCGTGATTGTACTTTTTTTAATAAAAGAGAGATAAAAAGAATCGCTTCATTTATTTGGGAGTTTCGCAACTGCCATTGAGAGTTCCCGAACGCCATTGAGAGTTCCGGTGACAAACGTTTATAAAAGCCGGTGGTCGCCTTATCACACGTGCACTTAACGGTTGAATATATATGAATCTGGAACAGATGTTCACGGACAGTAAGTACATAGCACAATACACGTCTTCCGAGAATCGTGAAAGATACATGCAGGAATGCATCTGGACCAATCTGTTGAAACGTATTTTGCTTTCGTGCGTGTCATTAGGTGTAAGAGAAAAGCCCGGAGACGTACAGCACCTGCTTGTCGAAGCCCTAAGGTTGGCCTACGCTGATGGGTTGTCTTGCGTGTCCGACCCGGCGACGGGCTCAATCACAGAAATGATAAGCAAGGAGCACGGGAGGCACAGACAAGATCTTATTCACCTCGACAGGTAATGCTACCTTACGGGCTGGCAGTTTTAAGACGTCCGTGTCTCACGAATCAGCCACGAGCCACTGACGGCTGATGCGACTAAGTTCAGCACTTAATTTCCTTTTTTGTTTCTCGTTAAAAAGGAGGCACCAAGCACCCAGAGATGTGCCGACGATGAAGCAAACGGGGACCGTGTTCACCGCGACGGCAGACGTTACAGGAAACACCTGCGCTTTCATCAGCAGTAACTCTCTCTACTTCGGGACAACCATTGTCGAGAAGTATGGTTTTTCAGTTCAGGTACGCAAAGCATAAAGAACTGGACTCGAAAAACTCAATGGTATATAGCGAGGCTTCTATGAATATTGTTTCTCTGGAATTAATTAGACCGTATATAACAGGCTCACTTCGGATACTCTTCTTTTTGACCGGGGAACAATGCGCCGAGCGGGACGCCAGAACGCCGAGGTCTGGTTCGAATGATTGATTAGTGAGTAGACCTAAAGCTAGCTGCCTTTGTCTCCACTGCACTCGTGGAACGCGTTTGAACGCGGAACGCCGGCGACTGGAATTCGGCTTTGGCATTCAAACGCGCCATGAAGAGATGTTCATGATTTGTTAATATTTCAGACTTATAAACGGCAAAATGTCATACTCAAGTTTGTTATCCACCATAAGTTTTTGTTTGTCTTCTTGTTCATCGAGGTTAATGGAATTGTTTTATTTTTGGTGGGCGCTCCCAGCTTTCGCCTGTCACCTGAATGAAGGCTTTGTTTCATCGTGTTTCGTCACCTTCAACTCACATGCTATCAGCCTTTAAGCTAATAAAGAAGAAAACACAGTGATGTCATAACTATGGTAGGGTATGTGATCTCATTTTCGGACTTTTTTAGACTCGGTTTGTTTTGTGCGCATGATGTGAGTGCACTTGATACGTTTGTGCATGTATGTTTCTTTTTGTTCTGTGTTGTGATGCACCACCGGGAAGGCATGTTACTTTTGGTGGGCATAAATAAATAGACATAAACACAAGCATAAACAAAACATACTTTTTTAATTCATGCCAATATATATCCTTTACATTGACCTTTACAGAGCCGAGGCCTGGGATTCAACGCGCGACCCGGACATCCAAATTGCGCGGGACCTCGTAAGAAGCCATTTCACTCGCTCATGCCGCTCATTGTCACGGATACCAACTCCGGAGAGTGGATGAGCGTCATGGGGACTATGGGAGGAACCGCACAGCCACAAATTCTTCTTCAGGTGAGTGGTTGATATTTCTTTACATGTTGCCAACTGTAGGCGGATATTATTACGTCGCTAGACCGCTGGTCTTGCCTTCACGTAATATAGATGCCCTCATGTTGATGACTTGTGAAGAATTGCCTAATTAGTTAACCTTTAAGCCAGGGTTACACTGCTTATACATCATACAAAATACAGTCTGCATACAGATTCGAACGCAAGTCATCGCGATATCCGAGCTTCGAATGCCGCATGGCAACGAGTTTAAGTAGAAACTTGGCACGCGGCATTTGAAACACGGAACCACGGATATTGTGGTTCTCGTATTCGCAGACTCTCTTGTGTATGATGTATGAATAGTGTGACCCCGGCTTCAAGGCGAGGCTCAAGCATACAAGGCGGTCGCGAATTATGGAAATCGTTACCCTTTACTTAAACAAGGGTAAGTCAGTAACTGGCACATAGCCACAAGACGTAACGTACGCTGTGGAGATGTTTTTGCAGAACGCCCACCCGCGCATACGCGCGCAAAAAGTGCATGGGATGAAGTGCCAGTGTCTATATGAGAGCATAATAGTTTGAACAACGAAGGATTAGAATAAAGACATCCAGTTTAGTTACTACAAAAAATGGTATTATTTTTCGTGCTTTATTTCCCAATTAAAGGGCTATCATCAAAACTACCAGCGCAGTGGAATTCGCTCACTCTGGGCAGCCACGCGGGCAATGAAATTTGATGTTCCTCAACACCCCGTCCGAGCAACATGCAAAAGAGTGCCAATGTTGCGTGGGCACTTTATGTGCCGCACAACGCGCGTCAACGAGCATTAGTGGGAAGGTCGCCTTCTGATGAAAAAACAAAAACAAAGTAATTTTTAGCTACAAAGAGAGACGCATCGAATCGGTACAGCGAAAAGTTGTTTGAGTAGGCCGAGACGCCGCATTTAAACGAACCGGAGAGGATGAACCGGACAAAGACTTGCGAGTGAGGTTTCGATTTATTGCAGGTGCTCTTGAACCAACTGGAGTTCGGTCTAGACCCGCAGGGAGCGATCGAAGAACCTCGGGTGCAGTTTGGTGGTATTGCGGAAGTCCATCCAAAGTAAGTATAATGATACACACGTAAAATATGCTTTGGGAAAACAAACTAATTACTAGAGATTTAGAGCATGCTGTATAAAAACAAGACCACGAACATTTGGAGGTAATTCCAGGAAGCTGTATTTTTTGTAACTGTGTTTGTGTGGCGTGACGTATTATCCTACAGTAGGATGGGAGCGAGGCATTTCAGATAAACATGTGGCGTGTTGTTTTCCGTCCCAGACCTCGCGAGCATGAGCGTTTCACGGGAAATTAAGCGTCATTGGGATGATCCTGTTACAGTTTGTGGGATTCTCGCTTTCCGCTTGTCCGGGGAAAGGGGACGAGCCGTGATGGGGGACTTTATTCTTCAAGCCCGGTGTTCGGCGGCTTACGCCACAATGGCTGACCTGTCCCGTTCCCCCGAAACGCGATCATGCCCCGTGCCTTGGCCGCGCGCTTGCACCTCGCGCGCCCGAAGTTTTGTGTCCAAAATCCCCACCATCTTCTCCCACCCCCCCCTCTTTTAGATTGTTCATGTGCCAGAAAATCAGCAGGTACTCTTGAATACTGCAGACGTTCGCACCAACTCTTCCTCGGAATATCCTGAATTTCTACACGTTTTCAACGACACTGCAAAGAAACTCCACTGCACCGAACGCGGGATAAAACTTGCGCTAAAAAGGCAACAAAAAACCTCACAAAAATGATTAACCTCGTGTAGCCCGTAACTGGGGCCTCATTTTAAATTAAGAAAAAATTAGAACTAACAAAATATTTGTCTGCTTTCCCACCGGACTCTCTGTCAAACCGAGCATCATCAATAGCGCCGGTAACTTTTAAAGTCTTCCAGCTTGCGCCATCGACTAGCTCGGGTGAAGAGATAGAGAATGAGCGGAACAGCCAATAAATTCCCGTTAAAAAAATAAACATTGATGACAAGGCTTGTACTCTAGTCTATCAACTGTGACGAAGTCCTTGGCAGGAGCGCTGTAAACGGGGTAGCAGGAACAAGGCGAGACCACGGCACTGCCGAATGTTAGAATGAACAGGTTGATGCAGAACGTTATCCTTTCGGTGTCTTCCTGGTTCTTGGCCTTGCCTCTCCTCGGCGTCTTCGATCTCCTCGGCTCTTGAGCGGGTTGACAGCAGGATGACAGTCTGGTTCTCCCATCGGGTATGAACCCGCATGGTGGACATGGTATCCCTCATGTCACACGTTTTGACGTCTCTTGACGAAATTCACAGAATATGCAGGAGCAGAATGCAGAAGTTCGCGCCTTGGAAGGTTTCCTTGATCGCCTGGTTCTTGGTGAGCTTGCACATTTCCCTGCTATCGAGCATGTGCAGGCACATCTTATGCTGACGCTGTTCGACTCGGCCACAGACAGACGGCAAGCGAGAATACCACAAATGGTGCCCAACGTGGGGCGCCAAATACTGTAGGGTTCCGTGCGTACCGCTCACCTGCTAGAAGGACCAATGAGGCAGATACACGAAACGTTCACACCTTTATGCTCGAAAGCCGGCCAACGAATGCCAAGCCACGCTCGCGCGCACGTTGGGCGCCGGGCGCCGAGTGCCGAGCGCGAGTTTTTGAGCGAACCAACAGTTATGCAATCAAAATTTGGTTGGGGCTAGTTAGTACATATTGATGAAAACGTTAAAAGGCGCGAAGTGAAACAGGGACCTTTTTCTTGTTGCTTGGGGGTGTCTATAGGACAGGTGATAGTGATCGACACTTTGGCGATGTTTGGTGTTACATTAAATCAGTTGGAAGTTGGCGCTCGTCCGTGTCGTACGTGTGTCTTTATTCGTCCTGTTACAGTTCGTGCCTTTTAACCTTTTAATCAACAGTTATGGGCCGCAAGCGCCACAAGTTCTAGATACATTTGAATGTGGTGCTTTAAACCAAAAGGATCTTATTTTTTGTTGAACCATTTGCTTAAGCCTTACACCGATCACGATGTACCATCTTATTTAGGCGATCTTGCAGCGCTTATAAAACGTTTACGAAAATTCTGCAGAAATATTAGTTTTTTAATAGTGCCTAATAGTTATTAATAGTGATTACAACCTATTTGTTATTAATAGTAATAGTAATTAATAGTGATTACTACCTATTCGGGTAGTAATTATAAATGAAAATGATGTTTGAGCTATTCCAATGTAATCCACTGTTTAATACAAAAAATTGCATCTTTTGGTTTTCAGCGGTGATTTTAATGGGTGTTCCTTTTTATCTAGTTCACCAGATGTCGTCACTGTAGTCTGAGACGTCTATCGGCCCAAGGAAGAAATGATAAATTAATGAAATATTTATGAACACCACACATTGCAAATTACACGGGACGCTATATCCTAATTTTAAAGCAATTTAAGAATAGCGCCACATACAACCTTATCAAACGAAATTGAGTTAAATTTTTTTTTCTTGTTCTGGAGAGGGAAACAAACAAAAACAGGCAACGAGAGCAGCTCGACAAGGTTCCGAACCTCCCATAAAAGAGCCTGCATTTTCCAAAACAAGCAAAAAAAATAAACGTAAAAAAAAGTTATATATACGACAAGGCAGAACGAGCTTAGCGCTCGTTTCAATAAAAAGGTGAGTGTAGTTTTGGTAGGACATTAATTCTACTGCAGTATTTGTTTAATTGACAACATTAAGAGCGCATAAAAAGGTGTATTTGACTATATATCTTCCTTTTTTTTTCTACAAGAGCAGAGGCGATCATCACATTTAATTTTGAATCTTTGTCAATTAGTTCATTACGCCCTTCCCCTTTTCCACACACACACACACACACGCGCGCACACGCACACACACACACAAGCAACAACAACAACAACAACCCGATACAGACATTTAACACCCGCTTGGTGTAAACACGTACTTTACGATGGCAAAGTTCATAGTGCGACAGTGCATAGCGAAAGTACCTTTTTTTTTTTTTAAATGATCATAAAGTGTCCGACTGTTGCTTCAATTTCAAATGCAGCGATCCCCTTAACATCGAGGAAGAAGCCGGTGACGAAGTGATACAGGGACTAACTGCGAAGGGACACGTCATGGACAAAATTCTGAGAGGCCTCGACAAGTTCCAGGCAGGCCATATTCACTCCATTACGCGGGGAGACTGGTGGCGACACAGGACGTCGGATACGCAGCTCCGCCAGAGCGACTTGGGAGTGCTCTGGTGCGGCGCGGACAGTCGATGTAACGGAATCGCCATGGGCTATTGACAAGATGGCCTGTTGACCTCGCGTGCAAAAGTGCCGTTCTGTCCGTCCCTGTGTTCATTCTTTCTGTTTTTATTTAACTTCGCCAACGCGCTCACGTCGAACTAAGCACTTCCGAGATTATACGAGAATATACGGGTGAAAGAAGAATCGACTGCATAACGTTTTTTTTTGTTGTTTCTGTCGTGAAGAGACTGTGACAAAATCGCCATTTTCTACCGATTCTGTATACTTGTCAGCATTGCGCATTGGAGCACTAAATTCTACTTCCGACGGCGGTTATTCAATGCAACTTCTAAAAAAAAAAAAGAATAAAAGGACACGAACTAGAGTATAATATAAAAAAGGCGTCCCAAAATTTTTCCACGCGAAAATTTGGGATTGAGTTGCAAGTTTTGATTGGGGCAAGTTATTTGTTGGATATGTTTACAAAACAAAACTCGGAATGTGGCGGTTTCTTTAAGATAAATTGTGCCGTATCCTGCAACGTTGATTTTAACAATTCATTTAAAGTGTTGTATAATTTGTGGGTTGGCAATTTCTTTTATATTGAAAGATGAGAGGACAAATTAATAAGTTCACAGCAGATGGAAATGTTCCCATTGGTCAGTTTTGTTTTTTTGTCAAATGTTTAAATGTAATGTTTGTGGGATGAACATACCCAAACAGTTTGTTGACCAGAAAATAAGGTTGCCCTTCTTGATGATGTCACTACGATTAGTTCCACATAAATTAAATTTGTGCGATAGGACATGAAAATATTTTCTGAGCATATTTTTGGGGTATCATTTTGTTATGAATAAAATTCCTGAAGTAGCTGGCAATGACTCCCGCTGCACTCTACTTTAAATTAAAATAAAATGTCAAAATTACGGCTCGTTTGTTAGTTGTGAATAAATTATTTTATTCTTGTTTCGAAAAAGTCTACACAAACCAATTAGATAATAAGTTCAGTATATATACTGTTTTTTTTTTAAATAAAATTGTGATAGTTGAGAGCATATAATCTGTCATTGGAAGTGTTGCATCGGTGTCGCACCGTTCTATATTTTATTTTTGTGTTATGTGTCGAATTTAACCGACTATTCTTATTTAATTATTACTAGCCGTTCGAAAAACCCTATACAGATGGCTTGTACAAATGACGGCTGTCATGCATCCTCAATCATAATGTAATCGTTAATATGCTTGCTATGAATAAGAGAATGATGAAATGATGCTTTCAGGAGTTCGCATATTTTTCGTACTTTTTTTTTAACGCGTTAATTACATTTTTGGTGCATTTGTATAAGTGAGGTCAGTAGTTTTGAAGTTTCTTTAATGCGCTTGCAGTGTGTCGTTATTTCTGTATGTTTATTTTCGTGAAGATGCGTTTTGTTTTAAGAACCCAGGTGTCCAACGGCCCTTCAGACCTCGTCAAACTTCTTTTGTCAGATTTTTTTTTTATGATTGGGCGCCGCTGGTGTAACGAAAAGAGACATGCGTACACATCATTTGAGCATGAAATAACTATATTGTTGCACAAAACCTGCAATATAAAAAAAAACCTAATTGTCGTAAACATCTGTGCATCCATAACGTTTTTCAAAGAGTCTCAGGCGACCCATTTGATCTTAGTGTACAGTAGGCCCGGGAACAAACAGGCAAACCGTCTACGTTCGTGCGAGACACCCACCACTGATCCTTTATAGTACCGACGATACTCTTACCTTTTTGTTATTACCTTGAGAACAAAACGGCAAAACGTTGCCGTTTGTCTCTTTTTCAATCCAGTTCGCATTCCGGTACACCAGTGGAGGCTTCTCGCCTGTCATATATCGAAAGGCGGTCCAGGCTCACACGTATAATACGGGAAGTTTCCGAGCGCCATTCGGGTCTAAAAACAAATATGTATTTAAATAAGCCAATAAACTGAGTGCCATAAAACGTTTGACGAAGGTGCCTTTAGGCGATGCATTTATGTTAGTTAAATTTTATGACCGTAGGTTTATATGGAAAAAAATTAAAGACAAAAAAACTCCTGTTATTTTTATGCACAGGGAGAAAAACGCGGCAACAAACCGCCTTGTTGGCCCGCTGCTCCTCACATGTGCTCACATGTAACAAAAAAAAAAGAAAAAAAAAGTGAAAGCTTTTTTGAGATGAGCACCCGAGAGCAGCAGCAGCGCCAACCGTTTTCCTCCCTGACGACAGGATAACAGGATGTTTTATGCTTGAATCGTTTTCGTTTTAGAAACCTACACTGATGACGTTTAGTACGATAAGTGTGCTACATAAAGACAAATTTATGAACAGTTTTATTGCATTCTCTTCATTGGCTTATTCATACGAATTTTTTTTTTTTTTTTTTACGTCCGAATAACGCTCAGGAACAGATGCGTTAATACAGGGTGTGCTTTACAAATGTAGATAAAAGAGAAAAACAAAACAAAAACAAACAAAAAAAAAACTTTCAACCTTTCCATTTTGGCGAAGAAGGAAGACCAGCACTATGGTGGGAATGAGGTAATGGCCGGCCGCAAGTCGCAAGCCAGAGTGGAAAGTTTGCGCCATCTATGAGCGACGGTGGCAACCAGACGACCGGTAAGCTGGTTGTCTGGTTATCGGTAAGCCGGCTGTCTGGTTGCCGCCGTCACTCATAGATGGCGGTAGCTGTCCAGGGTTTTGTGTCATCATTTGTTTGCTCACGGACACGATACTGGGGAAGCTAGCGCTTAACAGCTCCGCTGTAAAAAGTCGTGAAGGCTACATTACTTCGTGATTATTTTAACCCGATATTGGGGCAGAAGGAGGAATTGTTTTTACAGTTGAAGAGAAAGTAACATGGACAAACAGAGACGCTGTCTGTCCCTGTAACTTTCTTTTTAACTGTAAAAAAATTTGCTCCTCCTGATCCAGTCTCGTGTAAAAATAATCATGGCCAACTTCCACCAGCTCGCCTGCGCACTGACCGTAATTACATTAACCCGGTTTGTGCAGGTGCGTTGCTAAAGGGACATAATATAATAGCTGTCCGTCACGGTAATTAACTAAAATTTGAGAATATAAATGTTCTAATTGAAATTACACGTTAGTAAATTTAGTGCATCGCTGCGATTCTCACTCGGAAGAGGAAGTCGGATTGTTCAGACGGCCCACTCATTGCCGAACGAGGTCTGTGTACCACCAGCCCAGGAGGGGGGTTTATCCTGGATTGTCAATATTGGGGGGGAGTTAGGTGTGTATGTGTGTGTGTGTGGGGGGGGGGGGGGGGGGGGGGTCAAAACTTCCAAGGGGGAGGGGGAGGGGAAGGGGGGTGTACAAATCACCAATTGAGCCCAATATCAACGAGCGAACTGCCCATCACCGACTCACTTCAGTGGAGACTCGTTGTTCTTGCACTTTTACGAGATTTCACTTGTCAAGTGCGTAGGAATGCGGTTCACGGTTTCGACAGCGCAAGCGACACGTACATCATTTTCGGAGCGTAGCTTCCACAATGGTCACACAGTACTAGATAGAGTGAATAAGGAATAAATCCGTATGTAATGCCCTTGCAAAAAAGGCTTTTAAGGAATCAATAAACGAAAGGATATGAACTGTAGCTGTTTCGTGACGACATGCATGACACCTCGACGATATGAGTTGGCGATTCATTGACTTCTGCACAATATTGAAAGGCAACCAGAACACGGTCGGCAAATAGTAAAACCTCTGAACCATCTCCCTAGCCACCTGCCCCCCCCCCCCCCCCCCCCCCTTGTAAATTGGGTGTATTAAAAAAATAAGGTAACACAGCGTTCAAAAAGTCGAAAGACGTAATCAACAAAGTGCACACACAATGTGTTCTCTATGAACTGAATATTTCATTTCCAATACAAATATATAAAACAAAACTACGAGGAAATAAGAGATTAAAACATGCACAAGCAACATCCTTCATGATCACCGAAGAACCAACGTTAGACGTGCCGGGTGTGTCCCCATCACGTGACACGCTCGCGCGACGGCGTTCATGTTGGGGAGCACTGTACTTGAGAAGAGTTATACTTACAGGGTCAGGAAATCTGTGCTAGCAATGCCATATGAATCTATATCCTACATTTTTATTGAGAGCGAAGCGTTAGTTCGTCGATTAACCTCAATTTAATCGCGTACCCTTCGGCTCCACAAACCCACCGAGGCGATCATGTTTGAAAATATCCGTGACGTCACCGGCCTGCGTCCTTTGCTTTATCCACTGCTTTTCTCGATGGGAAACAGATGCACGCCGCAAAAGGTACACGAAAAAAAAAAAAAACAACAACATGGTTTCTCTAAAAAAAAAAGCCATAACGTACTGCAACAAGAAAAACTTTTTTTTTTTTTTTCTCGTTGCAACATGGGTTTCGGAATTATGAGTATTATATGCTAACTATCAAAAATATCTCAACTTTATTTTTTGCGTCATGACCCTTTTAACGTTATACAAACACTTTGACCGATCAAGTAGGTCTTGTCTTTTCATGAAATTGACGGTATGGTCTGAAATTATCGAATGTTCCGCTCATTCTCTACACAAAGCGGAAAACTCTAAGATGTACGGAACAGGGCTCGTTTGCTCGAAGCGTTAACCGCGGCTAAAGTTAGCCGCAGTACCTAGGAGAGGGATTTTGAAATCACGCGACTGGGCTCGGTAGGGATACGGGGAAACATGCATGGTGGTGCCCCGGTGAGTGAGCGCCGCTCGCTTTAAAGCTAATATGTCGATGTAGCTGCAACATCGGGCGCGTTAGTCAGCAACGAATGGTGCAGGAGGCTTTCGCTTTGCCTTACCTCACTTAAATCGCAAAGCATGAGCAATGACCTCGCCGCATTTTAGGTAGTCTTTCGATTCTGGCCATTCCCAAGCCTAAATGAACGCGAGTATTGTCGGCATGACAACGTCTTTGGAAAGTGGATTGCCTTGCACGTGCTCGCGTCTGCAGTAGTAATTGTTCTAAAGCAAATAGTCTAAAACAAAGTTTGCCTTGCACGCGCGTTCG